ATTTCATTCGATGTCGGCAGTCTCTGTGGAGAAGTGGTCAAGCCATGTGCCTCAGGCTCTGAAGGTCATGGGTTCATTCTACGGCTGCACACTTCATTTTATGAGTACATTTTTTTACGAAGATCCCTAGATATTGTCGCCGGAGTTAAGGAGTTCATGCTCTGCATGATACTCTTGGCAGGCAGCTAGTCATTCTACTGAGAGAGACCAAGCCATATGGGATAAAACCAAGTGCACTGTAGTTGATACTCTCCACTTCAGTCTTTAACCTTTGGGGCTGGAGTGCATGTGCCTAAATGGCAAAGATCCAATAGTATGCATATAAAAAAGACAGATCTGTAAAATGGATGTTTACGCAAAACTCAGGTTCTGGAACAAGACTAAAGTCCAGAAGTGGATGAATAGCCAGAACTTTCTACCGGAGTATACAGCTGGTGATGTGAAGAAGAAGAAGGAAACTTATCTTTATGGTCACATCAGGAGGAAAAGAAAACTGAAATACACTGAGGTGGAAAAGTTTGAGTAGAAAAGGAGCGGAGAGAAGACGCTTGACAGTTTGACATTGTGGCATGGAATGATTGAATATACATACAAAAATAGCCTGACCTTTTTCAAAAATGACCTTGACTCCCAGGTCGACCCAGCCTTGAGTGGGTACCAGGTGCAGTCCCGGAAAGTAGAGACGGCCAGCATGAAGCTGACGACATCACCCATCTTGTGCCGATTGGGCTATAAAAATATAGGTCTAGCCCTATTTGCCTAAAGGCATGGAAAAGGGTCCTTTACTTACTTACTTACTATACATAAAAGAATGCTGTGGATATACTTACGTCCAATGCCATACAATACGGTCTGTAAGACAATGCTAGCTTAAAGCAGTGCCTTGAAGTTGAATTATCTGCCATGGTAGGTTTTTTTCAAATGATCCGAGAATTACAAAACAAGCACTGAAAAGAGTAAACAAACGGTCTGAGGGAAAAAAAGGGGGGATGTCCAAGGAAAAAATGAAGAAAAATATTATTACAAGAGGCTAAAAACAAAGGACGCCCCCAAAAAATATAAAGAAAACATTAAGAAGAACATTAAAATGAGAGGCTAAAAAACACTGGGCTGAACTCTGGCAGAAATCAAGTGAGTTGTATGAAATAGAGCAGAGTAGAAGAATGGAATGCGAGCCTGATGGAACATTTAACTGCACACAAAGGGTGATGATATATTAGTATCGTACATGCATACTCAGTCACTGCGTATATACATTAGTATCATACATACACACTCAGTCACATCAAATAGCATAGTTTGTTTTTGCTATTTGTAAATCATCTTTTGCATTTCTGCTTTTTTAATCCCTAATTTCCCAGGGCCACAGCAGTATGTAGTGGTGGGGGAGAAATGTCTATACTACTACAGCAATGAAACATCAAATCAACCAGAGGGAGCAGTATCACTTTATGGATTCAATAAGTTAGTTTCATTTCATTGCATATTAGTTGGTATTTGTCATTCTACTGTCACTTTCTGGGCAGGCAAATTTAAGGTAGACGATTAATGTAGTGACAATGAACAAGGTGCACATACCATGTCATGCGTTTACTTTGAGACCTGATTGTCCTATACTAACTTAGAGAGTTTAACTTTTTACTTATAGTCAAGAAAAGATATAAAACCGAACAAAAAGTATATCAGCAAGCTTCACAATATAAAAAAAACACAAGCAAAACGTAAATGATGCGGCTGTGGAGCCTTCATCAGCACATACATAAATCATAAATTTTTTCATTTTTATAGTCAGTGCTCTTGATAGTCACATCTATCAACACCCTTCTGTCTCATTTACTTTTGATAATTTCAGACGCAGATGATCTTCCATATCATCATGCTGAACAGTCCAGCATCTTCTCTCTGTGCCTCTTTCCCCTCTAACTTTCCCAGCATTGTGATGTACTCAAGTTTTCTCCTTCTCATGACGCGAACAACGAATGGAGATTGTCTCCTTCTGATGTGGGCAGTCAGTTCTATTTTTGTCAGTTTATTTCATGACATGTTTACTGCTCTTTTCATCTACCTAGAGTATTCTCATCATTCTCTTTAAAACCACATTTATGCTGCTTCCGAATGTTTCCCTAGTCTTTTGACTGCCAGTGATTTACTTCTGAATACTAGGATAGGAATTTTATAGCTCTTGAGAATTCTCTTTCTCAACTCAATTGACAAAGAAAGATTGCATAGAATATTTTTATTTTGTGGAATACTGCCTTTGCTTGAGCTGTTCTACATTTAATTTCTTTAATACATTTTTTTTCCTCCTGTTATCAGGTTACCCAATTACTTAAACATATCAGCTTGCTTTAGGATTGTCCCATTAACATTAATCCTGCCGCTGTAATTATACCACCTTAAAAAGTGATTCTATAGGGAGTAATGACGGTTTAAGAGTTTACGCTCGCGACAGGTTACCCCTTGTCATGCAAGTTCTGTTTTCTATTCTATTTTATCTCGTTTTAAACTTCACATTATTTGAAGAAAAGAAAATCACATGATGTGTGGGTTAGAATGCCTGCCTGACACATTATTGTGTGTGTGTTCTATCCCTGCTGAAGGTGGAACATTCTAGCCTGTGGGTTATATGGTCACAGTTTGGGCAGATATACTTAACACAGAATATATTCACAATATAAACCAATACTCAACTTTATCGGTAGACAACAGATCATATGGTTTGGCCACGTAACAGTACTGGCATCAACAGGGCACCAAAGAGTGCGATGTTATACATATACAGCAGTAACAGAGCCAGAGGTCGATCACACAAAATATGGACCGCAGAGATATCAGAGACACTGAAAAGTACAATATATGAAATGAACAGAAGGGCCCATTCTCTTCCTGACATAATGCTGCTGGTTTTAGCAGTTTTGTTTTTTGTTTTGTTTTATTTGTTAGATAGTTAATTGGAGACAGCCCAGCGTGACAGTATGCCCAAAAGTTGCTATCACCCCTTTATTGCTGTAAAATCCAAAATGGAAGCAGGGAATAGTATCTCTGAAACCTGTCTTTCATCTCATTAAGGGTGACTAATGATTATTGATGTGGAATAGATTGCCCAGTCCTGTAGAAAACTAACAGCAGAATCCAACCAATTATGGTCATACCTTTAAACAGATTTTGAAAGAGTTTCTTCACGTTTGCTGGTTGTAAACTCCAGTGGAAAGTTCTGATTGTTCGTCCACTTCTAGACTTTACTTATCTTGCAGAACTTGCATGCACATTAGTTTTACAGATCTTGACTATTTATATGCAGTGTTGGTTGGTTCCTTGCCTTTCAGGCAGGTGCACTCTGACTTCTAATTAGCTGATTTTATGAAATGCTGACTAGGGGCAGTGGATATATTATTTTTTCCTCTAAAAGGGACCCTGGAGCCCACACAGGAGACAGTTTAAGGACCAATGTTCTAGTTGCTATAAGTACAAAGTATCAGTTGATAAAAATAATATCATGACTTAGCACCAAAATGTAGTGGTGTGAAAAGGAATCCTTTTCTTTTAGCAGTGTGACAATATATCCTTTAGCTGCTTATAACACTGAGTGATTGGTATCTAACTCAGTTATTCCCAAACTCTGGGCCGGGGTGTTCATGGAGCCACTCCCTCTTCACAGGGGCGCTTCAAAATATTGTAAAAGCTTCATAATTAATTTAACTAAGACACGAATAGTCATACGTTTACTTAGGTTAAGGCAACAACGAACAATTTTAATTGAAAAAGGTGCGGAGACCAAGAAAAATTCAGAAACACTGATCTAATAACTTATTAAGCTGTTAATAATAACCATACATGAAAAATACATACTTTATGTTGGTCCACAATGTCACACACATATGGACTATTCATCTAAGGCAGTATTCACTGAGGGTAGAAAATAAATGAAATAACTGACAAAGAATGCATTTTTGTTTAGGATCATGCGAGCGTGCAATGTAAAATCTTCTGAAGCATTGTGGGCATTCAAACTGGAGCACATCCAGCCAAATATCAAATCCATTTACTTTGGTGCTTCTTCAGAAAGAGAGATGTTGGTAAGTCCTGATAATTATTCTATGAAAACAGGATGTTCACATTGCTGTCATCTTCTGTAGTTATTGGACTTATCTCTTACATTTGTCTCATAACTAAGCTCAATGAAACCAGTTGCCCTGGTATTGCTTTAAAATTTGTCATTACCTGGTTGTGTTTAGAAGTGATTTCATTTTGAAACTTTCTAAAAGTAAAGTAAAGGTCCCTTTTCCTCGCCTTTAGGCGTATAGGGCATAAGGCTAGACCTATATTTTTACTTCCCAGGACTGCACCCAGTACTCACTCAAGGCTATGTCGACCTGGGAGTCAAGGTAATTTTTGACACCTAATAAGAATGCCCTGGTACTATCTGCCACAGCGAGCCACACTAAAACTTTACAGAGCGGTATAGAGCGAGTGGAAGACCTCAGAAAAGATGGGGTGAGGGCATTAAGGGCCTTACCAAAATGAACATCAGTCTTAATAGTGCTCTTGACAGAGCTCATCAACAAATGTTACATCTCCCCCTGACACTTCGATGAGGTACAGGGTGAAAAGAAGAAAATGCCATCTCTTAGAATCCGGCAAGATCAAATACCATCACAAGCACTACATCTCAGAAGATCAACTACAAGAGCAAGAAGACGGCCATGGAAAATATGGATCAATAGCATTAAAGACACTCTACGCCTTCACAGCATGACAATAGCCAGTGGCAGCCAACGTGCACTAGATCGCAAATTATTTCTCCCCACGACGCCTAACGGCAGACGTGGTTTATGATGATAAGGGTGATTTTCTATTATATACAGTATAGTTTTGATATACACAACATTATCACAAAAGATGAAATAAATAACATTATAGATAATTCTCAGCAATCTCTTTGTGCCATTTGTAACTGCCTTGTTTTTATACAGACTTGGATGAAAGCCATCAAGGCAGAAATGTTAAATGCCAACTGCATGAAAAGCAAGTAAGTATTTGTATGTGTGGTTTGTTTATTGACATTATTTATTCTTTTGTAGCTCTTTCTTTTTTCACTTTCAAACAACCGCATTGAACCACAATTTTTCCAGTTTTTAGCTGGGCAGCTACAGTGGCACTACTAAACACTTGCCATGGAGCCGAAGCTTCTGTGAACATATTGCAAAGTTTGAAAATGGCAACATTTGGTTAAATGAGCAGTATGAGTTATGGGTTAAGAACTGACATCATAGCACTCGGGACATTTAAAAAGCCCTCTGATGGCGCCAGTAACAGTCTTGTCCCTCCCCTGATTGTTGAGCATTGGTCAAACCACTATTCTCTTCAGACCGTGATGACCGTTTGTGCCTCTGTACCTTTTAGTCACTCCCAAAGGGTTCTTACAATATCTAGTTTGTCATGCATCAACCACAGAGTGTTGCAGAATCAGTCAATATGTCTGAAATAAACAGTGTTTGAATTTGCAACAGCTTGAAGATATATAATTAATTTGAGAGTATTCTTCTTCTCTTCTGTTTTCTATTCCCCCCACACACACACACACACACTTTTCAAGGTGAAAATATTTACTTTCGAAGAGACCCAGAAAAATCAATGCCGAGGTATTAACACAGTCTCAGTGATCTCTCTTATTGTTCTCTACATTCACTGGCTGTAAATTGTAGCGGAAAGTTCTTGTTGTTTGTCCACTTCTGGACTTTGGTCTTATTCAGGAATCTTGAGTGCTCAAGCACATCCATTTTACATCATCATTAGCTGCCTTGCCAACTGGCTTGGGCGATAATGCCTCTCCACAATCTGCTATCTCCTGCAGCATGTATCAGTTCGTGTGCTGACACACCTCCATGCCATGCAACAATACTGTCAAGAATCCTCTCCCATTGACTTCTTCTATACCTCCTTCCACAGATCTTTACAGTGGTCACAACATGTTGCCATTTTTCCTCTATTCATAACATGGCCAAAAAATGATGACTGTTTTACATATCTGGCTTATTTATTTGGAGATTGTCAGTTCCTAGCCTCTCCCTAATTAGTTGACTTTTACAACATGCACTGGGTCTTTTTTTTTTCCTCACTGGGGTCCTTGAACCCACATGGGAAAACTGCTCATCTAATTCTAAGTCACCCCAAAAACTATACTGGAGGGAAGCTTCCAAGAAACAATGTGCACCTGATTGATTGAATAACCTGGCTTTGACAGAGTTGAGTTGAATTAACAGCCGACATCACGATGCTTGGGACATTCCAATAGGCACTCTGTCCTCATCTTCAGCAGCCAGCAAAGAGATCCAGTTTTGATGGTACCAGTAACAGCCTGAAACAGTATGATTGACCAACTTACCTTTCCTCTGAGCATTGATTGTTGGCCAGATCCCCCTGGTCACTCCTGTCACACCATAATTATCTGTTCATCCTGCCACCTAGTTCACTTGCTTCCTGAGGAAGCATCCTGACTGTGACACATTGAGGTGAATAGGTGTGTACATTGTTTTTCAGATATATGTTCTTAAATTATACAAAATTGATAAGTCATTGCGGAAACTCACTGTTTCTCATATTTTGACTCAGTTTTGACAGACAAGTGCCCTCCTTGGAAAATCTATCACATGGCTCTTGGGATTCTACAGACTACAGAGAGTTGGAGGAAAGCATATATGTGGAGGCAGTCGGGTCCAGGACGTCTGGATATTCAAGTGATAAAGGTATTGTACAAGACACATGTTTCCCAATCTATAGCAACCTTTTTTTTTTTATAAGTTTGGGAACTGATTTAGAAAGCATGCTGAGGAAGGTCAGAACATGTATGCTTCATGCAGAATGGCATGCTTCGCTGAGGATCACGCCGGTGTGTTGGGAAATGAACAGGCGGACAGACTGGCTGGCTCTGCACAACTGGGTGGAATACTGATACACAATAAGGCAGACGTGGTTAGTGCCTTGTGGGAGAGCGTGTACAGTTCGGAGGAGCAGATGAATCACCACAGTCTGGTTAGATTGATGCAGCGGGGAGTGGCGAAAGGTTCTAACAGATGCTCGAGGCTCAGAGGAAAGGCAAGATGTTTAATCAGAATGCTACTGGCACCATGAGTATCGGAACTCTTCGCCGGCTGCTGAAGATGGGGATGGAGTGCTTATGTGAATGCCCTGAGTGCTGTGATGTCGATTCTTGAATCAAATCAGATCAAATTCTAAGTTTGGGAAATTATTTGTTGTGCATGTTTTTCCTTTTGACCTTTTTAAGCTTTTTAGTCAAAGCTTGAGTTCAGTTAGTTCTTTCAACAAGAACACACATTCAGTTAAGCCAGCTATCCTCAAACTATGGGTCGTGACCCTTTTTTGGGTCGAACGACCCTTTCACAGGGGTCGCCAAAGACCATCGCAAAACAAATATTCATTGAAGTTATGAAGTAGCTATGAAAATAATTGTAGGGTTGGGGTTCTCTGCAACATGTGGAACTGTGTTAAAGGGTTGCGGCATTAGGGAGGTTGAGACCCACTGAGTTGAGCCTTGTATAAACCCTTATTCCCCAAGCCTTTTCGACTTATATACAGAAAACATTTTAAACCAAGTTGGAGAATTGTCTGGACTGAATATTAGTGGATGAAAAATACTGTGTTACTAGCAGAAAGCAAGACCTATTGGATCTGGTCAACAGCAGGAGGGCAGAATAAACACTGGAAAAGAGTGACCAACAGTGAACAGAGGTATTAGAATGAGTAACAAGTTTCTCCTAGCTCAGACATGTAGTAACAGATGATGACAGAAGAGAAACAGAAATCAAAAAGCAAATAGTAATAGCTAAAACTGTCTTCAGTAAGATGTGAAAATAATTGACAGCCAGAGATAAATGACATATAAAAAAAATTAGAATTATCAAATGTTATGTATACTCAATGTATACTCAGCCCTGTTGTATGGTGCAGAAACTTGGATAATGAACAGGCAATTAGAAAATTTATCGGGCCTTTGGAAATGTGGAGAGAATGAGGCACCTGGGTGTAACCAGAGGGTCTGAACGGCTCACTACACTCAGAGGAAAGGCAAGATGGACATATAACCAGAGTATGACCGCTGCCATCAGTATTGGAACTCAACGCTTGCTGCTGAAGATGAGGACGGTGTACACATGGGAATGCCCTGAGTGCTGTGATGTCAATTCTTGACCCAACTCAACTCAGGAAATGTGGATATTCAGAAGAATACTTCATGTCATGGAAATAAAAACAATCAAAACAGGTTCTAGAAAACTGCAATTAGAAAAAGAATTATAGAAAGAAACAAAAAAAAGGGACAATTGAAATATTTTGGCCACATTAAAAGACAACAAAATAAGTGTCATGATCGTGGTAGGGGTGCAGATCTGTGGTATGTGGGTTCCTAGAAAAGCACTACACATGGATTGTCATGGTGTGCACGCAGGTGAACTACATGAAGTAAGGGGAGGGAGCTCAGGTGTTTTCTTCCCTATGCTTTGTTTCTGACAGTGATTTATGATTTGTGTCGATTTTACATATTTGGCTTATTTGTATGCAGACTGTTTGTTCTTCATCTCTCAGGCAGATGCACTATGACTTAAAATGAAACATCACTAATCAGTAAATTCTTATGACATGCTTGTTGGGGGGGGGGCAATGGGTTTATTCCCCCCCCCTCCCCTTACATTCTGACACACACATGCACACACACACACACACAATGAGACCCTGAAACAAACATGGGGATTTGGGTCTATGATACTCTAAGAATGTTCCTGAAACAATGGGTCACTCATAGTTTAAAAGAGCATTGTGTATGTAGGACAACCAGTAAATGCATGATGGTTTGCTAGGTATAGAATATGCTAGAAAGATAACACAAGCTGTGTTTCCTGAAATCCTAGTGTGAGTTGCAGGGCCAAATTTGGGGGCAAAGAAGAATGGAAACCACCCCCCCCCCCCCCCCACCACTACAATCAACACCTTAATTAGCAGGTTCAACTAATGTTGAATTAAGAATCAACATCACAGTTCTTGGGACATTTACATAAGCGCTCCCTCTCCATATTCAGCAGCAGTTGTAGGAAAGGGTGACTAATTGGAGGTTTGCTGAAATTGGATATGTTGTGTTGAATGGGGCAGATTTCACAGTGTATCTGTAAAGCACAACATGCTAATCACCTTTTTATGGCAGAACGCAGAAGATTTCCTGAAAGAGGATAAATAACTCATTTGAATTTGAATTACCGGATATAATTTTATAGATGAAGATCGAGATGTTGAAACAGCTGATGAAGACGTTGAAAAGCCTCCACTTCCTCCTAGGTCTTCTCGTCAATCCCGTTCAGGTATGTTCATTTTATTCCACTGTTTGCTTTTATTTGCTAAAGTAAAGGTGAAGGATTCTTCCTCACCTTTTTTCTGATTTCACCTTTACAAAAGGCAGCTGGCAAGTTGTGTTGTGGTTTACAGCTAAGCTATTATATCTTTAACTTTTCAGCCTAGCACATCTGATTTCAGCAGATCCTTAATTAGTTGCCTTTCATGACATTCAGAACGTCTGATTTCAGCAGATCCCTAATGTATTGCCTTTCATGACATTCAGCACGTCTAATTTCAGCAGATGCCTAATTTATTGCCTTTCAAGACATGCTCTTAAAGTTGTTAGTTGGGCAGTGGGTCTATTCTTTTTCCATCCAAAAATGAGACCTCAAAATCCACACAGCGAAGGTGAATGGATATAGTGTTGGCAGAATATATGTGCCTGGGATATACCCATAGGAGGTTACCGACTTGCATATTTAAACCGAAAATAGTTGATAAAAAATAGGATGCAGCTTATATCCAAGATATTACGCCTGACAGGGACTTGTACATAATATATTAATAAACAATCTGGTAAGCGCTGGGAAGTCACTGAATCACTGTTATATGGCACGGAACCACGAGGTCATTTTTTGTCATAAATTAACTTGGCCAGCCATAACAGGCTTTAAATTCACTCTAAGTAATTCCCGTGTCTGGTCATTGGCACGTTTTAAACTAGTATTTCCACAGATGCAGAAAATTCATCTACCCATATTTTCTTGATATATTCCAGGAGATTGGTTTCTATTTCCAGGTATTTTGCTTTCTTGATGCAAAAGGATTCATTCCAGTCCATCTTTGCTCATTAGTCTCATCCACATTGAACTTCCTCCCAGCTGCTTGGTTTCCATTTTCTTGCACAAAATGCACTATTTACAACTGTAACTTGCTCTTACATGACCCATCTCTTACTGCTTACAGGTACTACTGTTTTGGTTTTGGTTTATCTACAAAATTGTTAGAAAATTATTTGTTCCCAAGATTATCGTCTCAGAAACTGTGTGAGGCCTATTCATATGTGCATCCTAAAAGCGTGTAAATATGGTAAATTCAACTCAGTGCAGCGAAGTTGTTCACTTTACACTTTATTCTTATTTTGTAAAAGCCCATACCAGGTCTGTTCAAATGTGTTGCGGATATTCTACCTCTAAGCCACTCCACACTGTACTTGAGACTTTTGGGTGAGCCACTTCATTCCAATGATATAAATGAAAATTATACTTTTTTTTAAAAAGTCAGAATACCTAGATTTTTTTCTAAACTTGTCTGTGTATGGATAATGGCTTATTGGATTTTCTACTGCAGTGCGTAGTTATGTATCCACTATGTCATGTATCTGTTGCATACCCACTCTTCCTTGTGTATGATGCATACCAATGCCATCTTAACGTATTTACCCACTGGGCATTAACCGGAGGGCTCAAAGAGCAAAGAGGTCTCATGATAATCTATGTATGTCAAGTGTGTGGTTGCTATAGAGGCCCCATCACATTGGTTTTTTGCTCAAGGTCCCATAATGCTGTTAAAACAGCTCTGGTACATACCCAGTCTGTATATTGTGCACCACCACTGTTATTTATCATGTCACACATCCGAAAATCTTTATTTTGTCATCCTTGGCTCACCTATTTTCAGCAAAGTCAGAAACTTATCCAGATCTTCCCTCAAGGAATAAAAAAAGGGCATCTGATTACAGTGTTCAAAAAAGGGTATCTTTAGACAGTAGAGAAGAGACACCTTATGAAGATGAAGGTTTGAAGGAATTTTCACCTCGAAGTAAAGAGGTATTCAACTGTTTTTTGTTGTTGTTGTTTTGGTTTTTTGTAGCTGTTGATTTACAGTTAGGAAATAATTACAGATTTTGATGCAGTGAGCATGACCAATGTATTTGGCTGATGCTTAAAATTCAAGGAAAAGGCTAGATATACATATCAGATTGCAGCTGACACCACTGGTATTGAAACTTAGGATTGCTGCTGAATAGGGGGAATTATGCCTATTTATATTTCCTGAGTGCTTTGATTTCAGCTATTTACTATTTCAGTACCAAGTACGTGACCATATTTATAACCCTGTACATAGTATATAATTCTTAATGTGTTCTGTCCCATTTTCTGTTTGTTTTAACCCATTTTATCCCAGTTGTTACTTTAATTCTCCATGTGTGGGTTCTAGCCCCATTTTATGGAGAGAAAAAAAGAATAGTGCCATTCCCCCCCCCCTCTACCCCCAACAGTCATGTCACAAAAGTCCACTAATTAGAGTGCATCTGCCTGAGAAAGGAGGAACCAACAGTATCCATAGAAATGAGCCAGATCTATAAAATATGTGCATGCAAAAAATCTGGTACTGGAACAAGAAGTTTAAAAGTGGATGAACAACTAGAACTTTCCATTGGAGTTTGCAGCCGGTGAACGTGAAGAAGAAGACATTGCTTCATTGTGTAGCTCATTGTTTCCATTGCATCATATACCTTCATAATGCTTGCACACAGAAATAACCTGTTTAATACAGAACAAGAATATTTATCTTACTTATGATTTCTTTGTATTTTGTGATATATTTTCCCATGTAATTAGAACTCGAAAATGTGACTAGTTTTTTGTGTGTTCAGCCCCTCAAAAGGGTGGTTGGCATGTTATGGTTTACAGCTAGGCTGTGATATCTACATCTTTTATCCCAACAGAATTTAGCATAACCTTAATTAGTTGCCTTTTATGAAATGCTTGCTGGGGGCAGTGAGCCCTTTCTTTTCTCCCCTAAAATAAAACCCTGGAACCCACACGGGGAAAATAGATTAGTATATCTCTAGGAACTGAAATATTTTGGTCATATCAAGCGCCACGACGGATTGGAAAAAATTATAGCAGAAGGCATGGTACTAGGAAGGAGGGGCAGGGGCCGACCGACACGAAGATGGGCACAGGATATAAGTGACTCCTTGAGTGTGAAAGTGCATGAGGTGGGAGAACTGGCGAGAGACTGAGTTTCTTTCAGGCAGACTGTGATGAGAGCGATGTTCTGCAAAGGACCTGCTACATGGTGATATCTCTAGAAAATTTTTCAATGTTTAGTTGTTCTTTATTTGACTAATAGGTAGCATCATTACATATTCAGTGAAACAGTCACTGAATTTTCGTAAACCATTTTAAATTATTACTTAAATTTGTTTCTAATGAAATGTTCTGTTGTATGTAATCTTAGTGTATGGACTAATACTTATGTTAAATTTTTAGATTTTACTTCTGCATAATTAATAAGTCTGTTATGCTAACACTCTCATTGTTATTTTAAAACTATGTTGTTGTTTTTTGCAGGCCATTACTGATCCATTGTGTTACTGGGCATCTGTCTATTTTAATGGCAGTAAAGTCAAAGCAGCTGAGTAAGTTGTTTTCTTTTAAATTTTTAAAAATTTGTTTAAACTTTCATTTCTCACTAGCATAGTAACATTAGTAAGTTCTCAGACCTAGGGCCCATGTAGGGTCTGAATGCCAGAATAATAACCTGGCCAACTAATACCAGTAGAAGTTGGTGTGTGGCCCAACACAGTTGCATTAAAATATCAAATGATCACTCTCTTTATATTATGTATATGTTATTCTACATCTATTATAGTCGGTATCTGTGACTTAGGCATTGCAAACACGCTTCATAACTCTAAGGCATGCTGGTGTCAGATCTGCCATGTCCTGTAAAGGATACACAACTAACATTTTGTACATCTGGTTCTTTGAATGGCTTATTGTCATTCTGTTTCTTGACACCAAAAAAATATTGTTTACTGTATTCACCCTTTAAAGGGTGAAGAAACTAAAGCAATGTTAAAGGCATTTAATATGTCATGCAGTGAGAAATTGTGTAGGTTTTTTAAAAATGTCTATATAATAAACATAAACACTGCTGATAGGAGTAGGTAGATCGTTACAGTCTAAAGAGAATGGCGCTGCGAGGAGTTACCAGGAGATCTGGCTGATGCTCAACACTCAGGGGAAGGATGAGACGGATATACAATCAGACGGTTACTGGTACCATCGGATTTGGGACTCTTCGCTTGCTGCTGAAGATGTGGACTGAGCACTTATGGGAGTGTCCTAAGTGCTGTGATGTCGATTGTTAATTCAACATTCAAACACTACTAAGGGCAGTTAGTATATCGTGCATCAGAAATTGTGTAGGTTCTATAAAACAAATTCTTGATAATAAGCATAATCAATGCTAAGGTCTATTAGTATGTTATGATGTGGTTTACAGCTAGGCTGCAGTATCAACCCAACACATCCAATTTCAGCAGACCCTTAATTAGTCACCCTTTACAACAGTGGTTCTCAACCTGTGGGTCGCAATCCTTTTGTGAGTCAACTAACCCTTTCACAAGGGTCGCCAAAGACCATCGGAAAACACACATTCACTGAAGTTATGAAGTGGAAACAAAAATAATTGCATGGTTGTGGGTCGCCACAACATGAGAAACTGTATTAAAGGGTTGCCACAACATGAGAAACTGTATTAAAGGGTTGCCACAACATGAGGAACTGTATTAAAGGGTTGCCACAACATGAGAAACTGTATTAAAGGGTTGCCAAAACATGAGAAACTGTATTAAAGGGTCATGGCATTAAAAAGGTTAAGAACCAATACTTTACAACAGGCTTGTTAAGTTACAGTGGATCTATTTTTTCCTCCAAAAATTAGGGCACCAAATCTGAAACAGGTAGTCAACCCAACACATCCAATTTAAGCAGACCCTTAATTAGTCACCCTTTACAACAGTGGTTCTCAACCTGTGGGTCGCAATCCTTTTGTGAGTCAACTAACCCTTTCACAAGGGTCGCCAAAGACCATCGGAAAACACACATTCACTGAAGTTATGAAGTGGAAACAAAAATAATTGCATGGTTGTGGGTCGCCACAACATGAGAAACTGTATTAAAGGGTTGCCACAACATGAGAAATTGTATTAAAGGGTTGCCACAACATGAGGAACTGTATTAAAGGGTTGCCACAACATGAGAAACTGTATTAAAGGGTTGCCACAACATGAGAAACTGTATTAAAGGGTTGCCAAAACATGAGAAACTGTATTAAAGGGTCATGGCATTAAAAAGGTTGAGAACCAATACTTTACAACAGGCTTGTTAAGTTACAGTGGATCTATTTTTTCCTCCAAAAATTAGGGCACCAAATCTGAAACAGGTAGTCACTTTCAGTGACATTACAAGTTTTCCTCAAGGACAGTGCAACAGCCCAAGCAACCATACATTGACAGACTAATTCAGCAGGGGTGCGCAGGGGGTCTGGAAGTAATTCCACACTGAGGGAAAAACATATTCAGACTATAAATAAGGTTGCAGTTGGTACTGTTAGCATATTGACTCTTTGTTGGTTACTGGAAAGAAGACTAGCACATGTGGGAATGTCCCAGGTGCAGGGATGTTAGTTTCTGATACATTCATTCATTCACCAATGATCTTATTTCCTATGAATTTATGTTCTAATACGTGTTAGAGGCCATTTTGGCAGTGTTAATGCTACATTGGTAAAAACAAACTGTTATCATTAGTTATTTGATGTTTATACTAAGGTGCTTGGGGTGCATTTCTATTTTAATGATGTTACAATTAAAAACTTATGCATTTCATTTTATCTGTTGTTTTAGTTAATAATTAAAGTTTCTGCACATTTTCTGACAGGATTGTAAGCAAGATTGCTGAAAATGGAACATATCTGATCAGGAAAAGTGATGATGATTCAGTAAGCTTTTTAGTCTTTTAAAATGTATTTATAATTAATGAAAATTTGTGACTTAGTGCGTGTGTGTTGAGCAGTCAAACATGTTTTAAATTCTTTAAATATTTCTATATAGTAAACAAACACGGTACTAAGCAGTTGTTCTCAGTTACAAAAATGTATTTGCATCTGTGTGTCTGTATCCTCAACATGCTGCTGTTGACACAAAATGCATTCACAGTTTATCTCTGTTGCTGCCTTTCTGCACATGGTATCCCTTGTCAGTTTACATACCCTAATTTACCTTTCTGCATCCTTCTCCTGGTTTCCTTAGGTTGTCCAGGTCCCCTTTTCCCATCTGCCATCTGTGGGAGATCTGTACTTTTCAATGAATTATACGGCATTCTGCAAATATGTTTAAGCCATCTCGATCTTGTTCCATTGATAACATTTGTCAAAAATTTATATTTTGTCGTCATCCTCAATTCTTCATTTTTGATCTTTGGACAAAAAGATTTTATTTAGAAATATATTCTGAAATGCTTATAGTTTATGTGTTCTTTGTTTGCTTAAGCTTTGCCAACTTTCTAAGTCAGAATAGTTAATCTAAGTGGCTGTTGACATTTAGTGTGGAGATGCATAAATATTTGTTTAAATTAAATTTCTTTTAAATGTTGCATTTTATTTTTCTGGCTAATATTACAAAGTGAAATTTCATCGGCTTGGTGTGCAGGGATTGGCTAGCAGGTACCAAAGAATAAGAAATTCAACTCTGATTCACAATAACTCCTGCCTAGTCGATGTGATTATCTATACAGGTGGCTCTGTAGAGAGGCAGAAGAAGTGCATGAGGGTTCATGGTAAAAGCAAATGGGCGTCACTCCGTGCAACATTGCCTAGGATATGATACCATAATATCTAGTCTGCGGATGGAGGTGAAGTAGTGACAGCAGCTTTCTGACGGATTAAAAACCAGCAGCACATACGTGTCATAATTCTAAGAAAGTCACAAAGCCTACAGAGATGAAAGGCATGCTCTGTGTAAAATGGCAAGCCTCATCTTAGAGATTGTCAGCAGTTAACTTCCTTTGGATCTTTTCTCATAGGCAAGCATGTGTATGAGACATGAAAAGGCAGACAGTTTGGCTGCTTTGGTACCACTGGGTGGTAAATTGATGCATGAAAAGGTGGATGTGGTCAAGGCAAGTGAACAGTGCTGAAGCATAGACAGACAAATCATTACGGTTTTGACAGAATGGTTGGCAAGGGGGGGGGGGGGGGGGGGGGGGGGGGGGGGGGGGGGGGGGACCGATGGATCAGGCCATCACTCTGCACACAGAGGAATGATGTTGAACCTCACCAGGACTGCACAATGAGCTATAAACACACACAAAGTGCCACCATTCAGATGCGAATCACCCAGGCACAAGTTCGAGAAACCCTGTTCAACCATTAGGTTATAATAGAACCCCTGATGACAGCCAGGGTGATGCTTTAAAAAAAATTTGGTATTGAAACCCTTCGCTTGCTGCTGAAAATGAGGACGGAGCGCAAATAGGAATGTCCCAGGTGCAAATATTTTGGTTCTCCATCTAGCTCCTCAACTATAATTTCAATATGTTGACGATATAGAACATACTTTATGGGGTTTCATGAATATTTTAAAATTCTTTGAGACAAAATAGCAAAAATATAGGAAGGAGTTTAGCAGAAATTGCGGCGTCCGTGGCTAAGGCGTTGCGAGTCCGACTCGTAATCCAACGTACAGCGATCGAAACCCACTGTGGGCTTCGTGGATTTTTATCGTGGTACGGGACGTCGCAGGTCGACCCAGCCTAAAATGGGTACCAGGATGGGCTGTCCTGGGAAAGTAAAGACAGCCGGCGTAATGCTGGATCACATTACCCACCGAGTGCTGATGGTCTGTAAAAATATGGGTGCTCTTCCCATATGCCCGATACGCCTAATGGCGTGGAAAGGGCTATTTACTTTACTTACTTAACAGAAAATTATGTTTTCGTTCATGTGCTCATCAGGATTACTTGTTTTAACTATTTTTTTTCTTGTTTTTCCCAGAATGTTCTGCTATTTTATGCTCACCCAGGAATTAAAAAGTTCAGGATTTTAGAAAAGGTAAGGTGTCTGTCGTCATGTGTTGTCAGAGTTCTTGAATTGTGTGGTGATTATTTCACAAAGAGTTTTAGAGCTATGTTATCTTTAATCGTTACAAAAATACACCTTCGTTATAACAATTATTGTAGAATTTTAGCAGAATATAAAGTGAACATTGGCATCAAAATGTGAAAGTTTTTACGTACAAGAAATTATGACCATTAACCCTACCAGACCTGAGGCCCTGAACCTAACTGTCCCCTATACCTGAGCTCTTGGGCATTAACATGAAAAACCAACATTATATACAAAAATATTAGTTACATGCAAACAAGTGGTTAGAATTAGATGAAACCTGGAGACATTGTAGAAAATAGATTTACCTTTCATCTAGCCTCAAAAGTCCACCTTTGTGTGTCAATCCACCCAGCAGGATGAGCTCACTGTTTGTGTCACTTAAAGTGGGAACATATTCTTGATGAAATTCTGACTACTCAGAGTCTGACTCAACCGGAGTATCGATCACCTGCTGGAATGTGAAAAACCGAGAACTACTGTTGAAGTGCTTAGTTCATCAAACGCTCGTTTCATTGTGAATATTCTGAATTTTTTCACGTTCATCCTCACAGAGTAAATCCAAACACTTGGGGGCAGCCATTTGTAATTACTAACAATGATGTTTGACCACAATTGGTAGGTTATATTTAGTTTGTACGTAAAGTCCTGAAAATTAGGTACAGCTGTTGAGAGGCAGATTATGAAATTGCAGGAAAAGCGGTCTGGTAGAGTTAATACAACTCAATATTTCCCACCTATATTATGCTGGTATTTACTTAATATTCTTACATGTTAGAAATCATGCAAGAATATTTGTTATTACCTCACACGAAAAAGTTTCTAATATGAAACATATTATTTATAATTACTTTTAGTATGATGATCTTGGGATTGAATCTGCATCAAGGTCAATCCAACATTACCTTGTGTACCAGGATAATGTCTGAGAAAGTAAAAATGGCCAAGTGCTGATTGGTCTAATAAAATACAGATATGGCAAAGTGTGCCAGTTGTAAATGAGTCATGAAAAGGATGATTTCATTTTTTTTTTTTGGTTGTTGCAACCATCAGAAATACCTTTTCTTGGTTACATTGTGAGGAGAAAGAGAAACTAGGGCATGTTGTGACCATGGACAAATCGAAGGAGAGAGAGAGAGGAAAGCAGTGCGAGAATATTCTTTTGCCATGGTATAGAAGAGTATTAACTCAGTAATTATGCGGCTGGAGACTGCAGGTTGTTGAGAGGCAAGATCACCCATGCTCATCGGCAAGGCACTGAATAATGATGATGTTGGACCAAGGAAAGAATAAATATGATTTTTTTTTAAACAGGCTAAGATAAGTGTAATTAGTGCTTATGCTGCTTATCAAGCTTACACATCTGTTTGTAACATTCTTCAGTTTGTTTCTCTTTTCCAGAAGGATGGATGTGTATCTTTGTCAGCACATGGGCCAGACTTTGAATCAGTAGAAGACATGTTGTATTATTACTACAGTAATGATATGCCAAATACAAACATGAAGCTTGTCACTCCGTACAAATTACACAGCAGATACCAGGAGTAGTTAAAATACTTAGTACCGGGATAGAGTGTCATTGGTAGAAACGTTAATGCAATAATAGTTAATACTTATTCCCGTTTGGTTGCAATTTTTATATGTGTGAGTCTTTGAGCAGGAGAGAGAATGTGAATAAAAGTATGCACATGCACACACAAGATTTCTCCTTTGTATGCTTTGTCTATAGCAGACACTGGCTATTGTGTCTCTCTAATCTTCTTTATAAGTTGTATAATACATTATAATATGATATTAGCCAATTAATTTAGTGCTTCCAGTTTGTGAAATCCAGATACCACAGTTCTTAATGAATTGAATAGTTTGACATAACGTGTTGCTTTTAATGGTAGATCTTTTTGAGTGTATGTGTCCCAGAACAATTCTTATGAATTTAGTGAGAGTGGCGAATATGTAACAAAGTAAATGGGTAACAAATTCCTACAGTTGAGTCAACAGGAAGTACACTAAATTATAGCTATTGCTGACACAGACTCAGTGGCTATTGCATTATAAATATGAAAATAGTCCTCACTGACCTAAGATTACTTTTCCATCTTTGTCAGCATTCTGAGCCAGTGAGGTTCATCGCTGCAGATATTACCCACCTCCATACTTCTTTGTGATTGGTCTTCTCATTTCATCTGGCGAACAGTTTTTGTGTGTGTGTGGTCTCTCTGTTATCTGCCATTCTGTCCATATGCCGCAACCATTCTATGTAGTGTATTAGCCCCCATGATGCCAGTAATTAGTTATGATATAAACATATTGCTGGCCTCAGCTGATGAAAGTACAACATTTTATGCAGTGTGAGAAAATGAGTGATAATCTCTGGGTATGTGATGAGGAAAGGAGCAATGGAGGGCATCATGATGGCAGGAAAGTTGGGCCAGGGCTAAATGAGTCAAAGGCAGAGATGATTCTAAACTGTCTTCTGGCAAGGCACACGGTGATGAGTATTTGATGTTTGGTGGATGATCTTTCCTGGTAACTGAAGTGGGGGGGGGGGGGGGGTAGGCCTGGGAGCCAAGGTCTTCTGTTTATAGTTCCATTAAACCCTCGTGTGGGTTCCAGGGCCCCATTGTGGCGAAAACAAGAATAGACCCACTGCCTCCCAAAAAGCATGTCGTAAGAGTCGACTAATTGGGGAGCTTCCTTTGAAGTCGGAGTGCATCTGCCGGAGAGGCAAGGAACCAACAGTCTGTATTCAAGAGAATGAGATCTGTAAAACTGATGCACACGTAACAGGTTCTGGAGCAGGACTGCAGTTCAGTATTGGACGAGCAACCAGAACTTTCCGCCAGAGTGTACAGCTGGTGAACGCGAAGAAGAAGTTCCATTAAAAAAAACTGTATGAATGGAAATCTGAGGTGGAAAAAAAACAGCTTTATTTTCCTTTTACTGCAGTAGAATTTGCTAGCATCATACCATTTTGTGTGCTTGCATGTGTATTCTAAAAATGTTTCTGTGTTTTTCTGATCTTCTTCAGAAACACAGACAGAATAATGTTTCATTGTTTGTGGATCTCCTTCTGTGTGTAATAATTGTTACCATTATATACATATTGTAAACAATATATGGCATTCTTTCAGTTTTAGATGCACACAGAAATGAAATGTCACTTGTTTGTGTGTTTCTGAACTTGAAGAAGTTGCAGCATAATGAATTTTATTTATAAATAACAAACCAAAGAAACTTGTCCTGTAATCAACATAATGGTGGAAATTAATGTATGATATAATATGATGTGTGGGTATAATACAGACTGTAATTAGAGTTTAAATCTAAAATGAATCATGGCATGTAGTTAATGTAACATTTTTTGCTTTTAAAATTCTTTGCTAATTTTTGTCTCATATATTTGTTGATAATTTGGCACTATAATAAATGTCTACATACCTACAGTATTTAATTCCATGTGACTGTAAGTTTTTACATACATTTTTTTTGTAATCACTTTAATATATTCTGTCTCTTGTTTTAGTTCTTGGAAATAACGCGAGTCATGATAAGTTTTTACATATATTTTCTTTGTAATCACTTTAGTGTATTCTGTCTCTTGTTTGAGTTCTTCAAAATAATGCAAGTCATGATAAGTTTTTACATATATTTTCTTTGTAATCACTTTAGTGTATTCTGTCTCTTGTTTTAGTTCTTGGAAATAACGCAAGTCATGATAAGTTTTTACATATATTTTCTTATTAATCACTTTAGTGTATTCAGTCTCTTGTTTTAGTTCTTGGAAATAACGCAAGTCGTGATAAGTTTTTACATATATTTCTTTGGTAATCACTTTAGTGTATTCTGTCTCTTGTTTTAGTTCTTAGAGATAACGCATCATAATCTATTTTATTTTGAATGTATGTTTTACTGTTTTAGGGTTATAAACAACTAGATTCATATTTATATCTCTAATGTGTGTGATAGTCAGGATTTTTTTTTATATATTTTTTTATTTTAGTTCACTGGTTTAATAAAGTGTAGATAATTTGTCACACTTTCCCCCCACTAAAATCCATATATAGAAGGGTAAAGAATGCTCATGGCATCTTTTATGATGTTTCCCCTAAAGACAAAATCAAGGATAATAATCAGTAATAGCACACCAAGTGAGCAATATATCCACTATGTTAATGACACAATTTTAGTAAGACTAATTATTCAAAATACAATTTCTATCATAATCTCAACCCAAATTAAAGCAAAATGTGAAACAATACAAATTACATTTTGTTCATCTAAATAATTACATTATATATACATTTAAAATAACAAATATATATATATACTCTGAGAACTCTGTTAACACTATATATCCAAATTAAAACCCTGAACATTGATTACATTTTTTTATGCAGTGCATCAGATTTTTCAGTTTGTGGACTGGTATACTTGTCTGCCACAGAAACATCTCTTCTTCTTAGAACCCACCTGCTGTAAAAACTCCGGCAAAAAGTTATATTAATTTTTTTTTTCGCTTTTATAATTTGATCTTGTTCCATAACTTCATTTGATAACATTTCTCGTTACTTTAGTACTTTACCCCTTAAGCCCCCAGAAGCAGAAAAACTGACACTTCTGGTTGGTTTCAGCTCCCCATAAATGTCACTTTTCTGACCTGGGCAAACATTTGGGAGGTCATAAAATTAATACATTAATTAACAGTTAACAGTAGCATTCAGGGAAGTTTTCATTTTAAGCTAACTGGTTTTTTTAAAGCCAAGTTGAGTTTCCTATAAGGCTCAGTGATGGGGGTCACAGGGTCATGACATAGGTCACCAGATACATGTGTTGTTTTTAGACCTCAAGGGATGTATTCCATTTAATGCCTTATTCTGTTTGTGTTTACTGATATACTCCTTTAGAATATCTTTATATATTTTGAGGAGAAACAAGTTAAAAATGTAGAGAAATACATTTTGTACTGATTTTTCTGGAATTCTGACGAGGTCATGGCATTTTTTAAAGTAGTTTCATTGGGTGAAATGATTAATAGACTAGTTTCAAATAAGCTATCAAAATGTATGCTTTCTTAGAGGAATGATCATGGCTGAATACAAGATGTCTCTTGATCACATCCAGCTTGTCTTTTTCTTTTCAAATAAAAGAAATCTTCTGGGTGTGATGGAGACCTGAAATACCTCAGAAATACTGCAGGAATATCTGGATGTACATGATCTTTATTAAGTAACATTATTTGAGCATATTAATGTGTTCATACTTTTTTTTTAAACGACCGAAAACTTTTAGCACACCTTCATAGAATGGGTCTCACTGCCTACCACATGCAGTTGTGGTGCACTAAAGCAAACTCCAGAGTATCTTACAAGATCTTGCCAGTCTACAGAGGAGACGCTGAAAGACAAACCACAGAGTACCGGTGAAGACTCAAGTGCACCATCGTTTTGTGTGTGTGACCCATGTCGGAATAGATAAAAAAAGAAATATTGATTGCTGAATAAAAATAAAAGCCTATGTGATAAATAATTGAAAACTAAACAGAATAAGGTGACATTTTTATTAAAACTTGTAAATAAGTTCTGTCTTTTCTGTTTACATGTGAATGAATCAGGTTAAAATAAAATAATGATTTTCTTAGTCCAGTTCTCTTCTAGGTAGCTTTAGCTACTCAGTCTTTCACAGATTATGGAAAATTAAAATATTATTTTATGTACATGTTTTTACAGATGTCTGCATTTGATCTCATTCTCAGTGTCCATGGTTATTTCTATATTATTTAAATATATCCACTGTATTTTTTGTAAGAACTCATAGTAACTCATATTTATTTGTTTATTTTTATTTATATAATTATGTATGCATATATCATCATCAATCAGCAAGTCCTTTACAGAACGTCGCTCTCTTCACGGCACGCCTGAAAGTATCCATTTCCCTAGCCAGCTCTCCCATGTTCTTTCAATGCCAATGCATCTTCAGTGTCTTTTATCCATCTTCGCGGTGGTCAACCCCTGCCTTGCCTTCCACAAACCTCACCTTCCATCGTCTTTTCCAAGCCACCATGACGCTTGATATGGCTAAAATACTTCAACTTTCGGGACAGGATGCTGTTTATATATAAATATATTTACTCAAATGTGTTCATTTCTAAATGTGATACAGTCAATATCTTTGGTAAAACATGTTTAACATTTTTTGTTCTGTTATTTTATACCCGATTCTGAATTATGATTAATATTTTTTTTTAAGCTTTTAGTGTATTCTTTCTAGGAACCAACCCAGCATTTATTGGCTGTTGTGGTTTTGTAGGTAAATTTTATGTTCATTTTTTTGCATCATTGCTTTCTGAACGATTAGCTCTCGGTACCACTGTTGAAACCAGCGCAAGACAAATCGTCCGCAGCTAGGATCGAACCCGGCGTTACACATTGTGGTTGCAATGAGTAAGCCACACAAGCTGACACAAAAATAAACTCTGCTGCATATATTTACCACTTTTTACGACGGTGAAGGACATGAGTTTCTTGAGTCTAAGTAAATGGGACAGG